CACCGGAACCGGAAGTGGGAACAGCCGCCGGGGTTCCTGCGCGTGCCTGGCAGGAAGTGGAAACAGCTGCCCGGGCTCCTGCGCATGCCTGGCAGGAAGTGGAAACAGCTGCCGGCGCTCCTGCGCATGCCCGACAGGAAGTGAAAGCAGCTGCCGGTGCTCCTGCGCATGCCTGGCAGGAAGTGGCCGCCCCTGCCCGCGCTCCTGCGCACGCCTGGCTGGAAAGGCACTACGGCGTCACCGTCCAGTGCTCCCAACCTACCTGTTTAGTCTCTTAATTCGCTACCTTTAGCAATCGATCAAATAACTAATCGGCCCTGTACCAGGAACCTGGGTGCACAGGTGACCAAGACGCAGCCCGCGCCTCCCCCCGAGGCTCACGGCCTGGAAATGGCGTTTCCCTGCAGCCTCCGGACCTGGCTGACCGCTTCCGAGAATCCGCAGTTGGAGAAACGATCCCAGACAGGTTGGTGCCCCGGAATCACAGCCGCCAGAGTGTCCCCACGTTCTCATCTCTGTAGCTACGGCTTAGTATTTAATTTCTCTCTCTCTTTTTGCAGCAGAGTGGTGTCATGTCATATCGACAGCCCCCGATCTTTTCTTCGAAGGAAAGGCATTCCGTTTCGCAGCGACCGTCCAGCTTCTGACAGCGAACGAGCCTTTGATTTCCGCCCCTGGCTGAGCGAAGAAAGAAGGTAGCCCTCAGTTACCAGGAATTAGTTACTGGAAGAGAAAATCACAGCACCCGGGCCAAGTTCAGAATTCCCCGTTAGGAATGGCCCTGGGCCAGAGTATTGATCTCCAATAGGCAGGTGTCCCCTGAACAGCTGGGCCTGGGTTCAGATCCCTGTGCATGTCCCGATGTGATTCTTCAGAAAAACAATCAAAAGTGTTCCCTCTGTCGTAATCATGTCTAGGAGATAAGAAATGGAATATCTTCCCGGGAGAGCAGCAGTATACTTTCTAGTTTCAATAAACAGTTATGTCCAACAAATGATTTTTTTTTGTCTCCAAATTAATAGTCTGTGAGAGGTAGCAAAAGGTGAAGAGTAGGCTGTTGATACTGTAGGCAGCTAATGATGAACAGTGCACGTGGGCACAGGGCTGTGGAGTTTCCCAGTTTGGGGTCCAAAGATCTAAGGAAGGTGGTCCTAGCCTGCCCAGTAAAGGGGGGCGATGGGATGGTGTCGTCAGCCCAGGCAAGCACAGTCAGAGCGGCATACGCAGTATGTGTTCATTGAGAGCAAAGAGACTGAGCTGAAGAGAATGAGAATATTTCAAGAGATGAATGATTGAAAAAAAAATGGTGATTATGTGTTCTCAGGAGAAATAGTGGGAAAAACTGGGAGTTACCTTCAAGAGGAGTCGTGTTTACTCTTGGGAGGGAAAGGGTGAAGATTATATCATATTACGTATAATCTATATAATATCATATGGAAGTTACTATCATGTTGAAGAGATACTAGGCTTGTCAATGTAGAATTTAGGACTCAGGCCAACGAAAAGAAATTGCAAAGTCCTAGATTTCTACTCAGAAGTAAGGGGAAGTGTTTAAATAGTCCAGACTTGAACCGGGGATATTGTGAGTTGTAGATCACTGAAATGTAACAGGCATCTGGGCAGTCGGCTAACATGAAACATGCACAAAGTATTTAAATATTGAATTGGGTCAGATAATAACATTAATGGCAAGAACAATGGAAACAAGATAATAACACTAGTTAACTCTTTCAGAGGAGAATGTGTGCCTGGCACTGTTAAAGCAGTTTATGTAACCACAGAGGTATTTCAGCTGTCCGTGAGCAGTTATTTTTCCTTCGGACTTTTAGTAATAGGACCCCTAGGCTTTGGCTGGACTCCTGGATACTTAGCTAATGATGGCAGGTCCCGGCTCGACTCTCCGCTTCTGTGTGGACCAATTACACAGAAGAGAAAAGATGCGAGCTGCTTCTAGATACACTTTTTCATCATGTTCCTTACTTACCTTTTAGATTCTCCTGAGAGAGCATCTTTAAAACCAGATAAGAGTCACATGTTCAAGATGGCAAAGTTGACCTTCCTCCCTAATGCCAACTTGACTGGATGGACAAGAGCCTCTATCCAGCCTGGTCAGCTTACTTACTTTTATACTTGAGCATGAAAGGGCCTACTGAGGCCCAGCTGCATGATAAACAAGTATAGAAATTCAGGAACCATGCATGGAGAGGCTTCATAAGAGGAATGAAGGACAGTTGAGGAGAGATGGACAGAAAAGGCTCTTGGGGTAGAGTCTAGGCTGTACTGAGCAAGTAGAGACCATTTCAAAGGACTCAAGAACTTAAAAGCAATCTAATCAAGATGTTAGTGGCTTAAGTGATATAAGTTTCCATAGGTGTGTGAGAACTAGAAAGAAAGTCCAAAATAATCCAAGATTAGTAGATTTGGACAAATTGGCCAGATGTGAAAAAATAGACTGTGAAGAGCCTGTTACCATACTTCTAGTTTCACTGAGTCTACAAAGGCTGTATTTCCCTAAATGAACAAGTGTGTTTGGGATTTGCCCCAGAGACTTTCTCTCATTTCACAGAGATCACTTTGGAGTCCACTGAACCTGGGAGGGAGATGACCGAGGAGGAAACGGCTCTCAATGAAAAGAAGTCTGAATGCTTTATAGAGCTTTTAGGGAAATTCACTATCTACTCTCTGGTTAGAGACAGTCTGGGTATGTGTGGTCCCATTGTGTTGTGTCTGAGCTCAAAGAAGGATGTCCAGTAACTGGTTCATCTTGGGTTCTTTTTAAAATATGGGGTGAGTCATGCACTTTTCTAAAAACCAAGCTGTCTTCTCAAAAGACGTATCCTGATCAGATGGCCATCCTTACATCCATAAGGGTTTCCCTCTTACCTGAGAAAATCTGAGCAAGAAGAATGCAGCCGGCAATAATTAGGAGAGAGATTTTCATGGCACCAGGCATCTGTGGAGAGAGGGTGAAGGAGGTGCTGGAGCTGGAACTCAGCCCTTTTAACAGGGAAGTTGATTAGAACAACTTCTACGGCTCTGAAAGGGCAAGGAGTCAACTTGGGTTTGCAACGTTCATTAAGAACCAACTATTTTCCGTGCCCCATTAAATAAAGTGGGCTGATGGGTCAGATTTGACCGACATTACTTTGATGGGAGAGGAAGGCAGAGAACCCTGTCTTCCTGTCTGGAATGCTTTAGCCCACGTTTCTGACTAGACATCCCCTATTTTTCCATCAAGCCCTATCTCAAGGTCCACCACCTCCGTAGGATCTATAACCACCATTCCTCTTCTTCTTACCTAAGAGTTTACATGCAACGTTCTCTCTTATAAAATTCACTGAGCAGTTTCTATTTGGTGCCTGGAATAATCACTTTTTAAAAAATTGGCCAATGAAGGTAAAGTTGCCTACGTGCACCCTTCTTGGACTGCAGAAGAAGGAACCCTGCCCCCTCCCTGCAGAGGACAGATATAACCGTGGGGTTGGACAGGTGCCATACGACACACACACTTGAGCAAGAACAAAAAGAGTGTTCTTTGGGCCTGAAACAAAAGATGTTCCCACAAAAGGTGAGAATCCTGGTCCAAGCTGTGTGGGCTCTTGATCTCTTGGTAAGAAGCGTTCCAAGCCCCAAACCTATTCTTATGTAGCTGACTAGAGGTCAAAGACCGTACACTTGAGAAAGCCCTTCCCAAATAAAAGGATATAAAAAGTAAACACCTCTCTGCCTAAACTTTTGCCCTTGAAAAGGCTACCCCAGCCCTCATCAGTGAGGCTCAGTGGTTAGAGAGTCTGACCCAGCACCGAAGGGTCTCGGGTTCGACTCCCTGTCAAGGGCACATACCTGGGTTGCAGATTTGATCCCCAGCACCCAGGCTTATGCAAGAGGCAACCAACTGATGGGTCTCTCTCACATCAATGTTTCTCTCTCTCTCTCTTTTCCCTCCCTCCCCCTTCCTTCCACTCTCTCTAAAAAGCAATGGAAAAAATATCCTCCAGTGAGGATTTAAAAACAGAATAAAAAGGAAAGGCTGCAGCACTCAACAAGGCACTTAGGTCGCATTCACCGCCTCCGGTACACCACCCCCGAAGCCCCATCCGTGACCAGGTGGTCTGGCTCCCTCTTGCTGCAGAAGTCCAGCTTCAGGGGCAGCAGGCCCACACTTGGGCCCACCAGACCCAGGAGGGTCAACAGGGCCCAGAGCTGCTCACCCTGGCACCCAAGGCTGACCTTGGGCAAGTTACTTAACTTCCCTGTGCCTCATTCCCTCTCTGCACATCCACCGCCCAGGCTCCATGGTGCCCAGGCCCCATCTTAAGCTTCCCTATATCTCTTTGGGCTTGGGAGAGAGCAGGATTTCCTTCAAACTATCCAATCTCTGTCCTGGCTTTTCCAGGGCATGCATCTTCATCCCACCCAAAAATGTTTCCAGGCTTTTTTCCAGGTTTGTCTCCTCCCCTTCGTGATCTCCACCTTGGCTTCCCCTGCACATGCACACAGTAAAGGAACTTCCCCCTCACCGTTTCTCCTTCCCCCCATTAATTTGGGGAAACTGACCAGCTGTTCCCTGGGGTTATTGGAAAGCTGGTCTTTCCTGCCCACTTGGACATTAAGCCATTTAGCAGAGCAATTCCAGCGATTCCCTGGAGTGTCTGTGACACTAGTTTCCGACTTAATCAGGCTTAGCCAGTTCTCTCCCTTCCCTTTTGTTAATAACTAACTACCCACCTCCTGTAACAAAACCACAATAACAACACCACCTCTATCCTTGGCAAAAGGAAAGTCATACATGGGGGGAGAGGGGGGACATTAGCCACTGGGCATGGGGAAGATCTCGGGAAAGAACTGAAGCAAGCTTCTTGTCAGAAAAAGAGGTGAGCCATCAGAAAATGGAGTCTCATCCTTAGAAGGCACCAGAGGCACCGTCTGAGCCTGGGTTTCACTCCGTGAGACTTTCCTTATTCCTAGTTCATTCTCTTTGCTTGTTAGAGGTCCGTTCAGGTTTGCAGCCAGTTTTGGTATTTGTGTTGAAGGGCCCCACACTTAGCCATCCTGAAGTTGCCTTTTGGGGATATCGACTTTAAGTTGTTTCCTAAGAAACAGATCCAGAAATAACCTTTGACCCTCCCCACTTTCCTGCCCAAAGATCCAGACAGAAAAACCTGCTTCAGAAAGAGAATCTGAAGGCATTTTACCTAAGTTGGATTAAGTATGGTAACAAGGGCTTCAGGCGGGGGCCTGTGAGCTAGGCACCCCCAGGTCCCAATGTTTCTCAGTCACCTGGGGGGATTTTCCTGCCCTGGGAGTTCTGCTCTTCCTCAGCTACCTGCAAATCGCCTGTTCTCACCTCCAAAACCTAATACTCTTCCCTTCATCGGAAAAGTCTTACACTCAGTGTTGCCTCAATGTCTTTGAAATTTTCATGTTTATATGAATTCCTCATGTGCACATATGAAAACTTTGATTTTTTTTCAAAGTTAATCCTCTGTTTATTTGGTTACTGGCTCAGCTAGAAGAACTTAGAAGGTGGGAGGGAAAGTATTAATATTTTTCAGCCCCCACAGCGTCTTTCTAGAAATATATGTGTTTCATCCAAGTTATCTGAATTGTCATCATACAATTGCCTGTAGTATTCCCTCATAATACTTTTATTTCTGTAAGGTCAGTAGTCATGTTCTCTCTTTCATTTCTGATTTTAGTAATTTGAGTATTTTCTCTCTTTTCTCTTGGTCAGTCTAGATGGAGGTTTGCCTATCTTGTTGATCATTTCTGAAAAACAAACTTTTGGTTTTGTTGACTTGTTGTTTTCTTACTCTCTATTTTATTGATTTCCACTCCAGTCTTTATTATTTCCTTTCTTCTGCTTGCTTTGGGTTTAATTGGCTCTTCATCTGTAGCTTCTAAAGGTGGAAAATTAGTTTATTGACTTGAGAAGTTCTTTTAAAATACAGGCATTTGAACTATAAATTTTTTCCCCGAGCATTGGTTTAGCTGCATCCCATAAGTTTTGGGATTTAGTTTTCTTATTTCATTCACCTTGAAATATTTTCTGTCTCTCTTGTGATTTCTTCTTGGGCTCATTATTTATTTAGGGGGGTGGGGAGTGTTTAACTGGCACATATTTGTGACTTTCCCAAATTCCCTTCCTTTATTCCCTTGTGGTTGTAGAACAAACTTTGTATGATCTCAATTCTTTTAAATTTATTGAGGCTTATTTTTCAGATTAACATATGGCCTATCCTGGATAATATATATCTTTTTAAAAATAGGTTTTTATTGAATTTTTATAGAGAAAGGAAGGGAGAGGGAGAGAGAGAGAAACACCCATGACAAGAGAGAGTCATGCATCAGCTGCCTCCTTCATGCCCCCTACTGGGAACTGAGCCCAGAGCCTGGGCATGTGCCCTGACTGGGAATCAAAACAGTGAACTCTTGGTGCCTGGGACAACCACTGAGCCATGCCGGCTGGGCCCATTCTGGAGAGTAATTTATGTGAACTTGAGAAGAATACATTTTTTGCTGTTGTATGGAGAATGCCACAGATGTCTGTGACCTCTAATCTGCTTACGGTGTTCTTCAAATATTATAACTCCTTGCTGACCTTCTTTCTAGTCCTATCCATTATTCCATTACTGAAAGTGGGGTATTGAAGTCTCCTACTATTATTGCTGAATTATCTTTTTCCCCCTTCTATTCTGTCAGTTTTCACTTCATGTATTTTGAGGCTCTGTTGTTAGGTGCATATATGTTTATAATTATTGTCTTCTTGATGAATTGACTCTTTTATTATCATAAAAAGTTCTTCTTGTCTCTGGTAACAATTTTCTCTTAAAGAATATTTTGTTTGTCATTAGTATAGCCACCAAATCTATAGTGTGCCTCTTGTACACAGCATATAGTTGGATCTTTTTGAAAAAAATTATTCACAGAATCTCTAATTGGAGTGTTTAATTAATTTTACACTTAATACCATAACTAATAAGGTGGGGTTCACATCTACTGTTTTGTTATTTGTTTTCTAAATGTCATATCTTTTTGGTTCCTCTGTTACTCCATTACTGCCTTCTTTTGTGTTAAATAGATGCTGTCTCGTGTACCATTTAATTTCCATGTTATTTATTTTGCTATATATTTCTTAGTTATTTTATGAATAAGTTGGGGATTTATAATTAATTTTAAGCAATGTAGTCTGGATCAATATTAACTTAATTTCAGTAGTAGACAAAAACTTTGCTCTATGGAACTTTGTTTCCTCCCCCTTCATTTATGCTGTTTTTAAAAAAGTTGAATAGTTTTGAAGTATGAGAGAGATTCTCTTGCCTTAGCCTAGAAGGAGAAGCTATCACATTATGAAAGAAAACACCACAGGGCATAGAATTCTAAGCAGCTGTACTTGCTCATGATGGTGGCTGGCCAATAGCCTGCCAGAAAGTAGTCACCTAAGGTCTACAACTCCAAGTGCCTGAATTCTCCCCACGGCCACATGGCCTTGGGGAGGATCCCCTGCCTTGGATGACATCAAAGCACCAGCAAACATTGTGATTTCAGTCTTGTGAAACCCTGAGCTACCTACCCCATGCCGAGGCTTCTGACCTGCAGAAGTGTGAGATGACATGGGCTGCTCTAAGTGACTAAGTTTGTGGTACTTTGCTATACAGTGAAAGTAATACAAGCAGCATTCCCAGGTAAACCTCCTTTGGGGAAGCACATGTATGTGCTCTTTCAAGGTCCGTGTGTGGCTCATGACATTGCTCAGTTTTCTGAATGGTGCATATTCTTTCTGATGGCTCTCTTATGAATTTACTTCAATTCTTGCCCTGCAGGGCTGTATCCTAAAATCACTTACTGCTGGGTTCCGTTGCCTAATGAGCCACATTCTCGGGGGTCGTCCCTTTAGGATGGTTGCAGCCCAGTGACCTTGAATAGCATCCACTTGGTCCCTGGGAATCACACCCTTGCCCTGCCTAGTATCAGAAGCACAGCTGCTCCATGTTGATGATTTTGTCCTGTCCTGCTGTCCTGGACAACCCCGGACAGACCTCTTTGCCTGTACATATTTCCAGGTGTGAGTCAGGCGTGAACACCACAGGGTGGCATGTCAGTTTCTCCAAGGAGCCTCCTTGAGGCCCATCTCATGAAGACAGGTGTGAAACTGATGGTTTCCTGACCCCTCCCTCTTTGACTTCCCCACCCCTCCCCCTCGAGGGGCAGAGTGAGGTCACAATCACGGCCCATCAACGCATTTTCCAGAGAAACCCTGACCCGCCTTCTCTAGCTGCTGTTACACCCTCCAGTATGCACAACACCGAGTGTTTCAGATCACATTGTGTGGTCAGCTTCTTTGCTATTCGTGCCTTTGCAGTCCAGCACGTCATTTGGGAATGTGTGAGTTAGTGATGCTTAATGTTTTATCTTTACCTTTTGAGAATTCAGAAAGAAAGTGCCTACAATCTTGCTTTGTAGGCACTTTCATTACCTTCCAGTTATTAAGAGGAGGCTTTGAAATGAAACCCAAAACCAAGAAGGGGTAATAGGAAATAGCATAATAATATCATTGCTACAATTTAAAAATTCAGGTACACTCGGGGTTGAATATTTTAAATTTATCTCTAATCTTTTCATTCACTGGCAAAGAGAAAAAAAATGCAAAGTTGGGGCACGGACATTAACTGAGTCATTGTGAGTTGTTTTATGAATACACCATAAGTACTAGAATTAAGAAAGACAAGTTGTCGGTCTACAAAGAAGTGGTGCGGATAAAAGTCATTTATGGTATTCTTTAGAATCGTAACTCCATTGCCACAGATGTTTCCTTGTTTTGTGAGGATCAGCACCTACAGGCAGATACGCAGGACGTGACAATGGTGCGCATCCTATACTGGCTCAGCTGTGACAGGAGGAAAGGGCTGCCTCTCTGGGCCTCGATTTCTTCCGATGTCAACAGAGATAAGATAAACCTCATACGGTGACCTTGAGTCTTACGAGGGGAAGTGTGGGAAAGAGCTTCATCGGTTATTTGACACTCTACAAATACAGAGTGGTAGTACCTGATTGAAATCCAGGAGCTACTCATGTCTTCAAGATATTAGGTACCCACTCGTGTCTGGCTTTTTTCAATATTATCTTTTAAAATAAGCAAAGGTGTGGTACATTTACACAATGAAATACTACTCAGCTGTAAAAAAAGGGTCTCTTACCCTTTGAGACAGCTTGGAGGACCGGGAGAGAATTACGCCAGGCGAAATAAACCAGTCAGAGAGACAAGATTCACATGATCTCACTCCTGCATGGAATCTAATGAACAAATAGACTGAGGAACAAAACAGATCCAGACACACAGAAGCATGGCCCAGATTGAGGGATCTCAGAGGGGAGGGGTGGGGGTGGAGCGAGAGTAACCAGAGAATATATCTGCTTAGGTGCATAACCCACGGACACAGGCCGTATGCCGTGGAGGCCTGGGGTGGGGGGTAAGGCGGGGGAGGCCAATGGGGAAAAAGGGGACGTTTGTAATACTTTCAAAAGGAAAGATAAATTTTTAAAAAATAAGCAAAGAAACCAAGCAGAGGGAGAAAGAGCGGGAAGGGCCCTGACACTCGCTGACTGCATGGCCTTGTTCAGCCGCGTCAGTTCTCGCCACCTGCTCCGAGCATCAGGCGCTGCTCCGGGCGGCGGGCGCGGGCTGGCTCAGGAGACCCTCCGCTGGCAGCAGAGGAAGTTGAGCTTGCAGTTGCCCACCACCTTCTCGTCCTCGGTGCACACCCTCCTGCACTTGCCCCGGCCCAGCTTGCACTGTTCGCAGGCGGAAAACTCACCTGCGCCGAGAAAGAGCTGCTGGCACCCCTTTCCAGGGACTCTGGAAATGGGGGGCAGGTCGGAGGCCGCAGAAGGGGAGGATTTGTCTTTATGGTTGTAAAGGGTGTTTTCAAGAGCCAGCTATGATTTTTCAAAGAGCTCTGCGGTTTTCAGAATGGAGTTGGAGAGAGTTCATTTTTCAGCCAGAGGGACGCGCTGTCCTGTTCTCGTGTCTATAACCCCGTCTGGTCAACAGGAAGCACCGTCAGCAGCATGCATGTCACAGGACTATCCCCATGCACACCTGAGGCTGCCAGAGAGGCTGCATGACGATGGTGGGAGGGTCACCGTGGGGCTGTGAAAGAGCCTTGGAGGGAGAGTTAAAGGCTTGGGTTCAGTTCGTGTTTGGGTCTGGTAATGGCCAGGTGGCCTCAGAAACTGCTTAACCTCAGCCCTTTGAGCTGTCAAATGGACGTGCCGCAAATGCCTGTCTACATCTAAAGCTTTCTAGTGGTGAAGTGGGACACCTAATGTGAGAATATTTTGCCAAACACTGCTCACTCGATTAGTGCTGTTTGTTGGTTCTTTAGGCAGAAGATTTATTACACGACCACAGAGAATTTTCCAGCTAACCGCCACGGACCAGGTAGGCAGTGTCTTCGCCACCCAAGGAAAATTCCTTTGCTCGCCTGGTTCTCTGGGGCAGCATTGATGCTGTAACCCCTTATTTTCCCTCCTAATCGCCCTTCTTCCTAGGAACCTCAGAGCACTATTGGCCCTCACAGGTTGGCCTCACTACTGCAGCCCTCTCCTTGCTCCTACACAGCTCATTTTTCCATCCTCGGGGGCTCTTCGCCTCCATGCTCCTCGCGTCCCCTGCCTCACCGCCTGCTCCTCCCGCTCCGACCACTGCTCAGCAACACACCCAGCTACAGTGGCTCCCTCCCGGGGCCACGTCCTGTTCCTTTCCCTCGGGGCCCCCTGAATGCTAAACCAACGACTTTGTATTTGTGCTCAGTGTCGCTTACGTTGTGTTGGGACTCACTGTGCTCATTGGTGACTACCTCGTTTGTCCATTTGGGAAGTCCACTGTCAGAGTCAAAGCCACCCCTGGCCTTTGCTCTAGCAAAGCCCAGACTTTCATCACCTCCCTCTTCTCCTTGATGCTGTGCACTCATCCCACGTGGTGACAAGAATTCCAGTTGCCTCTGAAACGATCGCTGACCTTGATTCTAACCTGCCCTGACTGGAAGTGGGGAAGACAGACCCTAAAGTTCTACTGAAGATGCTCCTGTGCCAACAGCAGATGCCACCGAAAGCCTCCTAATGGCATTTATAAGATAGAGCCAGTTTGCACCTTCTGTAGATGTACCTTCTCCACAGTCCACTTCTGTGACTCCAGGGGCCCTCTTCTCAATAGCTAAACCTCAAATTCCTCAATTTCTGGCTCAGGCCTAGCTCCTAATTTCATTATTTTCTCCTCCTAAATCCCATGTCCTTCCTCGCCTGGGGTCTTCTGCATTGGCATCTGTCACATTGTCCCTGCCCCTGGAAGCACCCCCTCTCTTCGCCTGGATTGGCTAATGGTAGTGCTAATTGGCTTTCTGTTCGGCTTCCCGAGGCAGGAAGGAGTCAGCATTTCCAGCCTCAGAATCAGTGAGACAGGAAATGGCGAGGTATTCCTAATCCACCTGCCCTTTGCAATGCCCGGGATAATCTCTAGATAACGGGTGCAGAGCTAGAGCACCCATCCTCCCACCTCGCACCCTGAGAACCTCTGTGGATGGGTTTATACGCAGGGCTTATATGCGGTTGGTACCCACTGGCCTGGGTGAAAGGATGCTATGCGGCAGCATCTGGCTTTTCAGGTGGGGCATGGTCTGAACGTTCAGTGCCCCTGCTGCAGCTGGAGACCGTGTCTGCCACCTCTGCTCAAGAGGACCGGGGCTGCTCCACCGGCTGAGAACCACAGAATTAAAACATGAGCCCGATGTCCTCAGCTGGAAGCCCAGCTTGGTCCTTATTATTTGTGCCCCCTCCCCAGGCAAAGTGACATCATATCTCATCTACATCTCTGCTTCACTATCTGTTAACTGGTGGTTACAATAGTACCTACCTCCTGGGGGTGTTCTGAGGATGAAATAATGCACAGAAAGTTGTTCATAGACAGCCTGGTGCATAGTGAGCCCTCAGGAATAGAATCAACCTTGATTTTCCTAGCTCTGAAATCCTATTTAAATTTTGTTCGCAATTACTCAAGAATATTTCTCTCTGTTCTGTGTATAATATGCTCTCTTCCTGTATGAGTCCACCAGAGAAAGAGAAAGAAAGAAGGAAGGAAGGAAGGAAGGAAGGAAGGAAGGAAGGAAGGAAGGAAGGAAGGAAGGAAGGAAGGAAGGAAGGAAGGAAGGAAGGAAGGAAGGAAGGAAGGAAGGAAGGAAGGAAGGAAGGAAGGAAGGAAGGAAGGAAGGAAGGAAGGAAGGAAGGAAGGAAGGAAGGAAGGAAGGAAGGAAGGAAGGAAGGAAGGAAGGAAGGAAGGAAGGAAGGAAGGAAGGAAGGAAGGAAGGAAGGAAGGAAGGAAGGAAGGAAGGAAGGAAGGAAGGAAGGAAGGAAGGAAGGAAGGAAGGAAGGAAGGAAGGAAGGAAGGAAGGAAGGAAGGAAGGAAGGAAGGAAGGAAGGAAGGAAGGAAGGAAGGAAGGAAGGAAGGAAGGAAGGAAGGAAGGAAGGAAGGAAGGAAGGAAGGAAGGAAGGAAGGAAGGAAGGAAGGAAGGAAGGAAGGAAGGAAGGAAGGAAGGAAGGAAGGAAGGAAGGAAGGAAGGAAGGAAGGAAGGAAGGAAGGAAGGAAGGAAGGAAGGAAGGAAGGAAGGAAGGAAGGAAGGAAGGAAGGAAGGAAGGAAGGAAGGAAGGAAGGAAGGAAGGAAGGAAGGAAGGAAGGAAGGAAGGAAGGAAGGAAGGAAGGAAGGAAGGAAGGAAGGAAGGAAGGAGGGAGGGGCGAGCAGTGGGCTATCTGTTGAGAACAGCTCTCTGTAATTCGAGTTTCCACAGAATGATACTCGCTCCTTTATTTGCACCCCTTAGACCAGGGCCTGCATTTGTGACACGCTTTACTGGATTTAGGAAAAGGCCTGTAAATGACAGATAATCATGTCCCCAGAGCAATGCTAATGGGCTGGTTCAAGCTTAATCCTGTGACCTTGATTTAGGGATCACCATGAGCTAATGAGAATAGCCTCCAGGTCCAGATCTCTGAGGCAAAAATTACAGTCCAGTAGCAATGAGTTTTCTCTATGAAATGGAAAATCCAAATATGACGCTGGGAACAAGAGGAAGAAAAGAGAAGAGCTGGAGTCCAGGCAATCCTGTTTCCATCGCCTCCTGTCTGCAGAAGTCAGTGACAGCTGACAGGCCAGAGTTCCTAAGAGTAAAACTAGACACAAGGGATTTAACTCACCTCCAGGGAATGGCTGGGAATGCTCAAGTCCTGCCTGGCACCCTAAATCCAAAACAAAGCACATTTTGGAAATTAAAATCAGTGCAGGGAACTGCACTGTAGAAAACAGTATTCTCAGCCTCACACATCTTCCGTCAGGGACAGCAGGTCACAGGGGCTGCAGATTTATTCGTCTGAAGCCTGGCCCTCCTGGTAACC